TGATGGGATGTTAGTTTACTGAGGGACAAACCTTGAACATGCTTCCAATGTATATCAATTACTGACTGAATGTGAATGCTTCAGAGTTCAGAGCTGGACATGCCAGATGATATGTGTCAAAGCAGTTTCAGATCAGAGGGCCTAGAGGAAGAGCAGGGCAGCAGCCACAAGAGGTCTCTGCAGCTCAGAAGCTCTTTGCGGCAGGATGTGACTTCAGGTCTTATGAACATGATGTAGGTTTTACCACACATGCGGATTTTTTTAAAGGTTAAAGGCCGTGAGCACACGTATAGATGTGTGCTAACTCAACGCCAGCCGCCCACAACACAGCCACAAGATATATTATAAGACAAACATTAATTGTACCCGCATTACCCATGCTCTCTCTCTCTCTCTCTCTTCTCTCTCCTCTCTCTCTACACAACACACACACACACACCATTTATGTGGAGCTTCTTAATTAATTATACCATACACATAAAGTGATTCCCTGTAGACTTATTTTCTATGTGTCGGATTTTAAGGATGATTATCATGTCTGATAATCTGATGGATGAATGTTGCGCAACAGACCTGAGCAATGGCGGAATTTCGGGATTAGTGAGCCAATTTAATTCATTTGTTTCATTGTGTATTTTTCAAACCACAAGCCCACAGCAATTCTTATTTAAAACACGCCTTTATTCCACCTCTGAGCTTTCATATGTGTGAGGCCACCACGAGTGACTGTACGGTAAACCACTCCCGTTCCTGGACTGGGCGTGCGTCAGGAGCGCAGGTGTGATTGTATCCATTCCCAAGAGACTGTCTCCCCAAGTGGTTCGCAGTGGAAATTAAGACGGGAAAAGGTTCAGGAAGTTCAACAAGAAGTGAATTTACCTGCCCCCAGGTGCGTTTGGAGAGCTGACCGTCCAGGAGTGTCTGGAAAGAGAGAGAGAGAGAGAGAGAGAGAGAGAGGAGCGCACCAAAGAGAAACAACCTGGAAAAGTTACGGATGATAACGCACCCTTGACACACTGAGAAACCGGAGCGACTCATCAACTCTTGCCAACTGTAATACCACTTAACGGGAGAGGAAACAGCTATAATTATGAAGAAATCTTCATATCCAGGTAAATGTGCTGCTTTTAAATAACGGGACGATGGTAAAAACGTGTTTTATTATAAGATATCAGACTGGAGCCTGATTAAAGGGAAAGGCACCAGCATGTAAAGTACTGGTGTGTGTGTGTGTGTGTGTGTGTGTGTGTCTGACCGTGTGACAGAGAGAAAGGACTGACAGGATTTCAGGTAAATGTTTAACAGCATTAACTATGAATACATCCTTCATCACTGCTCCTCCACAGATGTGCGCATTTCAAACGACTACTTCTTCCCTTTGAATGTCCCATTTTCAAAGAGGCCCACACATGGATCTGTGGGTGTGGTTGTAAAACATTTTCTTGCTGGTCTGGACTCCAAAGGCCAGATGATTTCTGACACATGACATCATGGCAGAGAGGTGGCACACAGAGAGCTGAGCTCACTCTTCTACAAGTCTTCAGGCAAAATGTCTTTCATGCTCCGATAACAAAGAAGAAAGTGATATGCACCAGTTGTGGCCTGCACGCTGCATGGAGGGCTCGCAAGTTGTGCAGGATTCATTTATGGTTGGTTTAAGTATACTGTTTACTCCAATCATGAGACAGTTACCTTGTTAATCTGTGTTGATTGACAGTTTTATGGTGCAGATCCTTCACTCCTCCCCACTAATACCCCGAAGAATGACTTGATTTATCTGCATCCACTCTGCAGTGCACAAGCCTATTGGTTCAGTTGATTATGGGACCGGCTGGATCTGATTGTGGTTATTGCAAAATATGGCACAGAGGTTATCTGGGTATTAGACGGCTTGCAGCTCATCAAATATCTCCGGGAGATGAAAGTGTGATTGTATTGGTTTAGCAGGTAAATTCTGATGTTGCAGCCTCACTCAAAAACACCATGACGGAGAAATGTTTTCTGCCTTGAGGCTTGAAGCTGTTTGTTTGAAGGATGGTCCCACTAACCACCAGCCGCCTTGTCACCCATAAACAATCCGTCACTATTCTGTATAGTCCTGGCTGATGCTTGTGACATCCCTCTTCTTCTTCATCCCCCTCTTGTCTTTCTAGCACTGCTTACTATCAATTCCATCTTCTTCTGAGGCTCCTTGCCCTTCTCTGCCCCCCTCTTTCTCTCCCTCCCTCTAAGCTCCAGCTCAGTCCAGTGTACACAACCATATCCCGCGGAATGCCAGCTTTTCCTGGCTCCTCTTCCCAGAGTCTTTGTGCGATGGAGCGTCCGATGGTTTTCCATCAGAGCCGAGCACATGTTGGGTCATGCCGCCTCTCCTCCTCCTCCTCCTCCTCCTCCTGTGTGTGTGTGTATTCTCTCACTGCCGTGCGACGTGTGTGGAGCTGTCACATTCTTTGTCAGAGATTCACTCGGGGAATAGTTTAATAACAAAGTGTGTGTTAAGTGTGATGTGTGTTGTGAAAGGCCGTCCTCTCTAACGCGTAGGGGTGTTTAGACAAGCATCAGAGATGTGGAGGGGTGACTTTGAGAGAGGAAGGTCAGCCTGTGTTTTGTACGCAAACACAGTTGTGTATCTGGCATATCTGAAGTTTGAGTTTTAGGCCTTATGTATAGTACTGAGTGTATATGCCTCTTTTTTTTGGGGGGGGGGGGTTGTTATATAAATAAGTGT